GGCTGTGGAGTAATGGATTGAAATTTACTGCATGTAATGCTTTGAAAGAAAATGTAATGAAAATGATTTATAGATGGTATATGACCCCAGTCAAACTCGCAAAAATTTACCACCTGTCTGATAACAAGTGCTGGAAATGCAAAGAGTGTGAAGGAACGTTCTTTCACCTCTGGTGGACATGCCCTAAAGTGAAGGCGTTCTGGGAAATGATTTATAATGAATTGAAAAAGGTATTTAAATATACTTTCACTAAGAAACCAGAGGCTTTCCTTTTGGGTATTGTCAGCCAAGGGGTGGCAAAGAAGGACCAGACATTTTTATGTATGCAACAACAGCAGCAAGGATACTACTCGCAAAACATTGGAAAACCCAAGATCTACCCACACTGGAAGAATGGCAGATGCAACTGATAGACTATATGCAACTGGCTGAAATGACTGGCAGAATCCGTGACCTGGGAGAAGAGAGAATCGAGGAGGATTGGAAGAAATTTAAGAACTACCTACAAAAACATTGTGATTTGATTGAATGCTGAATAAGATGCTGGACTAAATAACTGAGCACCACTTAACTTAGAAATTTTTAAGGAAACAAGAAAAATTGTGAAAGTTTAACTCTTTATGAGAACTCTAAGATTATGAAATATCGAAGAGATATAAGAATTTAAATAAGATGATAAATTGCTGACAAAATGTTATAATGATGAAGGTGGGAGCGGGAGACGTGAGGAAGTCCAAAGAAAATGTGAAATTATGTTAAGACGAATGCTATATTGTTTATTACATTTATTCCTATTGTAAAACCCAATAAATTGCTTTAAAAAAAAAAAAACAAAAGAAGGTGGCAGTGCTGCGTTCTCTGGCCAGGAGGGTCCTGCAGAAGGTCCTGGCAGTTCTTCCCTCAAGAATGGAGACAGAACCACCATCTCCTCCTCCTCCTCCTCCTCCTCCTCCTCCTCCTCCTCCACACAGTGCATGGTTCCCAGGTCTGGGGCAATTAGCAAAATGAGACTCTTAGTGAAGCCTCTGACTTTTTTGGTCACCTAGCATAAATCAAAAGATCATGCCATTTGATTTTGTTGGATGAGGGTGTTGCTGTCTTGGGTTCAATGATTGCAGTTCCCCCAAGAGGGTCATGTTCAATGTTAGGCATGCCTTTTCTTACAAAAAAACATGCTTTTCCTGAATAAACTCCATAGAAATACTTAAGGAATTTCTCTTACGTTCATGTGAATGTAATATTACTCTCTTGAGAGTTGATCTCAATTAATAATTGTTTGCAGAGTGTCAGTGAAGTTACATTGAGATTCCCCTTAATTGATCTCTAATCTTCATAGCGTCCTTTTTATTCTTGCAAAACTGATCATGTCTTTACACAAAGCTTGCTAATTTCTGAGACTCTCCGAGAAATTAGAGTGCAAACCTTTTGAACCAGAAACTTGTTAGACCTCCTTCAGACTTGCAAATCTCATTCAGACTTCATATCAGACACATTTGGCTTAGTTTTCGTAAGCACTTCACAAACATCATCACAGTTATCCGTACAAAAGTTGATTCAGATGGGCTGGGAAGATTTGCTCCCAAATTATAGATCTGAATCAGAGGGTGGGTGAAGCACAGTGACTTAGTATCTGTTTACGTAGTAGAGGACATCTGCTGTAAGTTGCTTTGGGTTGTCCTGAGCAAAATAAATATACCAACAAATTTAATAAATAAACAAACAATTTAAAAAGTGATTTCAGTAGGTATACTCTGAGCAAAAAATGGTTAAATACAACACATAGAGGTAAAAGAGGAAGCTAGAAGTGTGATGGATGCTTTTTCTGCTTCTCTTTCACCTCCATGTGCTTTTAAAGAATCAATTTTATTCTACTGGATTTAAATTTTACACAGCTTCTTTGTGAAGTGAAGTGTGTACATAGGTTATTTATTTCTGTTCGGGGGCAGGCTGATCTGGGAGCAGGGAAAGAAGCAACCAGAAGCTGTGGCACCCACAGCACTCATTCAGAAATCCAAATGTCCCCATGGTCTCTGCTATGGTGTCCTTTTCTCTCTTCTCAACCTCCAACTAGACCTCAGGTTCCCAGCATGGGCATGAATGAACCCTGATGCATACATGAGATTTTCAGTAAACCAGGGATTCACCATCTTGGAACTTCTCTTAATATGTTATGGCTACGGGTATCTTAAATGTCTTGCTCTCCCTGGTTTTAGGTCTTTCTTTTTCAGTGTTTAAGGATAAAGGTTTTTGTAAACATTAGGCAGTACAGCTATTTAAATTTATATTGTTTTGGGCAGATTTGTTTTACAGCAGGTGAAAGAACATCAGTTAGGAAGGCAGCCTTGAGGCCAGTTACTGTGGTGTACAAGCTGTGAAACAATTGCTCTTTGCATTGCACACCTGTAAATTTACAAGAGCTCTCACTGTCTGTAGCTCAGTACAGCTGATTTGTTTTCTGCATCCATTGGCAGAGGAGATTTAATGCCTTCAGCTCCTTCTCATAACTGTTTGTGATGACAATATGTATACAGGGAAACTTCAGAAAGTGGTTAATGGGAGAACTGACTAGGTTGGTGAAGTTTTTAGCCTTTGGTAAAATTTATATATTTTCACTTACTTTTTCTGTTGGATTTTTTTTTTTTACCATCCCTTGACAACCTATGTGGTTGCCTTCATTCATTGTTTGTGCATCAAGGAAATTCCCGATTGCAGTCTTAAGAGAGATGACACAGCTCTGGGATATAAGCAGCAATTCCCTCACCAGGCTGCTTTAATTTCTGATATTTAAATCTCTAGACAATGACTTATAGTGCTGATGAGATGTGTGCCTTCGGTAGTCCTAGTTCATAAAATGTTTTAGTCTTGGGTTGAAACAGGTGCAAAGATTGATTTTATTATTCTCCAACTCTGTGATTTCCAGCAAACTGGACTTGTAAGGCTCAGAAATTTAATCCTAGCTCTTGTAAGTCAACAATGACTTTTTTTAAGTGCATGGTGCCTTTTTTTAAAGTGCATTAGAGCCAGTGTGGTGTAGTGGTTAAGAGCGGTAGTCTCGTAATCTGGGGAACCGGGTTCGTGTCTCCGCTCCTCCACCTGCAGCTGCTGGGTGACCTTGGGCCAGTCACACTTCTTGGAAGTCTCTCAGCCTCACTCACCTCACAGAGTGTTTGTTGTGGGGGAGGAAGGGAAAGGAGAATGTTAGCCGCTTTGAGACTCCTGAAGGGGAGTGAAAGGCGGGATATCAAATTCAAACTCTTTTAATGGGACTGTGTCAGCTCTAGGATTCATGTGTAAAATAGTTGTGTCTGTGCCCCTGCCACATGCAGAGAACTAGCATGTCAGGAGAAACATGGCTTCTAGAAGAGCCTCCCTTCTGATGTTGCTAGTATTGGAATGTGTACGGTACTTTCAAGTAAAAGATTTTCCCCGATGGGCATCTTAAAAGATTATACAGTTCCATGCAGAATTGTAAGATGTGTTTGTATTTGCATAAGTTATTCGTTTTAGAGAAAGATTAAAACAAACAGAAGATTGCAGCTTTCACAAGAATTTAAATAGTCCCACTGACTTCAGAGAGGCTGATCTGAAGTTCTTGGAAGACTCAGGAGACAGACCCACTTATTAGTGAGCAGACATTGCTAATTACTAAAGGCTGGAGTTTGAACTGTGTGCACAATGATGTGCCCCTGTTACAGATTAAGGGTATTTGCATTTTAGAGCTGAGGCAACTGGTACAAGGACACTAAGGATGGCATTAATGTAAAGGGCTAAAGGTTCATACGCGGCAAAGAGTTTCATTAAGAAGCCATTCGTTGACATGGCTCAGACACTTAACGTTTGGTGAACCTGAAAACGTTCTGCATACATGAGCTATTTCTTTTTTTAAAAAAATAATATTTATTAATAGTTTCAGAATAATAGAAAGAAAAAGAAAAAATAGAAAAACAACACTACAATACATAAAGAAGAAGAAAAAAACACAAAACATAAAAACCAATACAGCAATGCAACAAAAAACAACAACAAAAAAGGGGGAAAAACACAAATCCCAAATTACATATCTTTAACTCATGCATGAGCTATTTCTGACTCTTCCTCTAACAGTGTATTCAAAATAATGAATTTTTCTGGGAGCATTATGAAAATGATTGGTAATACAAGGGTAATTGGTAATGCGAGAAGATACTTGTATCTGGTGAGCTATGATTCTATTTAGAAACTGGGTCTGAAATGGATGCTGAGTGTTTCTATGTCTCCTTTCAATGTGTGAAATCCCATAGAAATTGGCTGTTTTCTTGTGGCAGAAACTTTCATAGTCAAGAGCCTACTTTTTGAGAGGTTTAAGATAGATTGAGAAAATGGTGGTGGATCTTGTATGTGTACGTGTGGGATATACAAAGAGGCTAAGGTACAGTATATGGCAGGGGGGTGAACCTCCAGCACACAGGCAGATCTTTAACTTCCAAGGGTTCCAGTTTGGCCCATGAAGCCATTTTCACCAAACTGTGCCCATCTGCCAATTAGCTGATGTCACTTATGAAGTCAGCTAATCAGGAGGGCGGGCTTTGATGCTGCATTGGCTTTGAATGCTTGTTTCCAGCAGGGTACAGATGCCTGCAGCCAATGCAACAGGATTTAACCTCTGCTCATCAGCTGGCAAGCAGGGCTTAAATTCTGCTCAGGGAACAAGTGCAAGGAGAGAAAGAAGTGCTGAGCATAGGGTAAGCAATGCTGCTTGTGCTACAGTTCCCAAGTGCCTGTCAGCCAGCTTGGGAACCCCACACAAGGGATTTTGACAGCTGGGCAGTACAAACAACGTGCCAGTTGTGTGATGCCATAATGATGTTGTGTGACTGAAAGGTGGGTGGCCCCGCCCTCCCAAATTTGGCCCATGAGACTGATCCTGATAAGGATCTGGCCCATGAAGCCATAAAGGTTTTCCCGCCCCCAGTGTATGACAAGGTACCTGTTGTCCCACAGATGTTGTAGGACTACAACTCCCATCATCCCTGACAATTGCTTGTTCTGGGTGGAGATGATGGGAGTTGGGAATCCAGCAATATCTGGAGGGCCATAATTTGCAGATGGGGAAATAAGGTAAGAGTTAAAGATAACAGTAATGCAAAACAACGTTAGCATAGCATAGCGTAGCACTGAAACAGTCTCCAAGGCCAATCTTAATGTGCCACATAAATATTTGTCTCCTGGATGCTATAGACTTTTGGCTGTTTATACATGGAACTGAAAAATGAGATATCCATGAATACACTGGGTGGGGGGGATAAAGTAATGGAACACTAAGCAAGATCACAGCTGCAGTGCTCCTCTCCCAGTCCTCCTGCTGTTGTGCTACCTGGATAAACCGTGGTTACATCCAAACCCAGGCTTGTGGTTTGTCTTACAACCTTGAGCCATAAACCAAGAACAAACCTTGGTAACAGTTTGTGGCTTCTCTGGAGTGAGTGAAACAAACCACAAATCTGGGTTGGACATAACACTAAACCAAATGCAGGTAGCACAGCCGCTTCAAGAATGGGGAAGAATGAAACTGCCACAACCTTTGCTTTGCGAACCTGCAATTTCGTTTGCTCAGGTGAAGCCGTGGTTTGGATGAGCATGATGTGCAAACTAGATTACAGCTTACAAAATAAAACACAGGAGATTCACTGACATGATTTACAACAGGCACCTCTTTTTAAAAAAGTAATTTTGAAATAGTGAGTCAAGAGTCTTGTGGATAACTGACTTTAAAGATGAGTGACTGTAACATTGTGGTGGATCCAAAGGAATGTGGCGGTCTTTGGGACATCCATACCTTTTCCCCATACCATTTCACCATCAGTTCTAATATTTCTATTTCTAAAATGTATACCTTTATGACCAATGGCCAGTGAGCATTCCCAGGATGGCTAAGGCACAGCAGTGGCTCATGTGGTGGGATGGACCTTCTCTCCCGATACTGGTGTTGCTGCAGTTCACCTGGGCAGGGGGGAGAGGTGACAAGCTTGGGAAGCACCAAACTGGTGGTGCACTTAAATAGCCCCAACCTCATCATCACCTTGCTCCACCCCAGATCCTTCAAGATAAGCTGCAGTGACACCAGTGTAAGAAGGGCAGCTCCACCCCACCACAGTGGTCACTGGTGTCCAGGTGTCCTTTAGATGCGGGCAGAAGGCCTTGATGGGATCACAGAAAGTCCTTTTAACTCTTTGGGAGACCTGGTACCTGTGTTTACCATTATTGATCATTACCAATAATGATGATGCAAGAATGAATTCTTGCATATTGAATGTGATGATATACTGTTTCTCAGGGCCAAGGCACACTGACTGCTGCCATCTTTACATGACTTCCCATGACAGTGTCTTCATGTGTTGAGCTTTTTGCCTTCAGATTTGGGAGCATCTTCTTATGGTGAAGAAAATAAGCTTGTAATGTCATGGTGTGGAGAAGCTCCCCTTATATACCTGGTGATCCAAAATGTATAGATGACCTACCATATGGAAGTAGCTGTTATGGAAAAGTATTCAAAGTTCAACCACCACCACAACAACAACAACTGATTACTTATACCCCACCCATCTGGCCTGGCCTCCCCAACCACTCTGGGTGGCTCCCAACAGAATATTAAAAACACAATAAAACATCAAACATTAAAAACTTCCCTAAGTGGCCTGTTTTGTAGACATTGACCCATACTTTGTGTTCGAATGACATTCAAATGTCAGCATCCTCTTGGAGAAAAGGCAGTATAGATTTAGAGACTATGTAACTTAGAATGTTTTAACTCCCCAATGCCAGAACAAAGATTTCCAGAGAGTTAGCTATAGAAAAGAAACTGCTGCCTGCTATCTTATCTGTATTGACTGTGTAAATAAGTTGTATTACTCAACTGCAAAAAGTTCAATAAAGTAATCTAATCAACGAACTCACAGTTTCCTTGGCAACCTGATTGCTGAGGCATCAGAGAGAAAAGAGGCAGCATTCAGGTACGTCTCCATCATGTCTGGATACAGCTTCAGCTGAGAGCCCCCCTTCCTCTACTTGTCAACAGCCATTGTTGAGGTCAGAAGAAGACTCTCCCTTGTGCTTAGATCCAGCTCCTTGTTGAGGTCAGAAGAAGAAGAAGAAGAAGAAGAAGAAGAAGAAGAAGAAGACTCTCCCTTGTGCTTAGATCCAGCTCCATGACGCAATGAATTTCTACCTTTCAGTAGTTGCGAAGGGCTTTGGGGAACAGAATGTCAAGGCAGTCTAAGCATGCCAGAAAGGGAGTGTTATTCAAATTCCAAAATCTTTCCACTACTTGAATAAAAGTTCCACAGGCTGAAGCATTGAAGGTGTGAGGTATATGGGCTAGGAATGACTTAGATGGACAGGTACAGTACTATGGATCACAGGACATTGGGTAAAAGGAAGATCATGGGGACCTGGACCAGAAGTATTGTAAGTAGGCTATACTGGAAATCATTTTGGGATATCATGTTCCTGCAAAGTAGGATATAGTAGATATAGGTATATATGAAGCCAGGTTTCTTTTATATTCCACATTTAGGACAAGGGCTTTGTCCTAAAAGACAGCATGTAAGCACCTTAAATAAATAAACCTTCATTTGATGTCATGTGGCTGTAAAATGGCATTCTACCATCATGTGGATGGTAATAGTGGAAATAAAAATGGAAGAAGGTTGAGGAAAGAAGGGGGCTACAAGCTTTTTGGTTGTTGTTTTTTACAGTGCAGTGCAACTGCCTTGTTTTGGTTAAAGCTTATGGTCATTATCAAAGTTTACCAAGCCAAGTCCTGGGTCACCACGGACCAAGCAGGAAGGCAATCACACATCTGGTAAAGGTATTTGTTGTTCCCCAAGAGGAATTCACATTACTGTTTCCACAAGCCAGTGGTTAGGAAGTATGATGGTAAGACCAAACTCCAAGAATGATAGAGGTACAAGTTCCAAGTACTACTAGTAGGCTGGAAATCTTGGAAAGATTTTGGAATAACCAGCAGGCCAAACTATTTTGTAAAGGGCTTTGAGGTCACTCACAACAACAGAGACCTGAGACTCAGTGGAAATGTGATAAAAGCGACTGAGTCTGGCAAGAGCAATCCATATTAAAGCGTATGTTAGGAGGGGGAGAACTGAACAGAACAATTGGAACTAATAGACAAAAGTTGTGGCTGTGAAAAGCAGCTGCCTAGGGCAAGGAAGGGTAAGATGAATACAAATGAAAATCTAGTTCATTTTGTGTGTTTGTTTATGCTGTCTGGTGTGCAGTTTAGCTTTCTCATTTTGCAGCTTTGGTCCACAGGCCTGATGAACACAGAACGAACTTGTTTACATTGAAGTTGTACTGCAAAACTCTAGATGACGTTAACAGCATTGATGATTTAGCACTTATTTATAACCACCTAGTGAACAGATGATAGACAATAGCGCTGCTGGCAAATCTTTTATTTAAGAGAGTCAGGCACAATTTCATGCAATCATAGCTTCTTCATGTTGTCTCGGAAAGCAATTAGATGTTTAATTAAAATCAGTGTTCCCCCTGCTTTCTCTCTCTTTATTGGCTACAACTGTAAATATCCTGGAACCATCAGACATGTGTCTGCCTTAGCCACTGAAATATTGTATTTGCAAATGAATTGTGAAGTCTTGCCAAGATTCTGCAATGGAGAAAAGTGCTGGCACTCAGTTAGAAAGCCATATGAATCTTAAATTAAATCTTTGATATTGGGTAATAATAATATCCACATTTTCAAAGCTATTTTAAGTGTATTGTGTCCCTGCATAAAGCAAAAAAGGAGGATGTGTGTACTGGAAGTCATTAGTCATCAGGTATAAATAATCAAGAAGAAATTCAACTTTAATATTATAATATACAGTAAACCATGTTTCCTGCTGGACGTTCAGAGGAGCAAAAAGCAGTTGTTACAAAATATAATTAAACATATAAAACTGATAGGATATGCTGGATTCCTCCTAGCTTGATGGCTGTGCTGGGAAAGATGTGTAGAAGCTATTTACTGTAATTAAAAATGCTCTGCAATCTATATTACTCAAGGCTGTCTCCATTGAATTAAACTGTAGTTTGGCTACATTCCCTGCTCCCCTTGAAGTTTTTACATATATATGACAAGTACAAGGCTACTTGGTGAAAGGAAACATGAGTTAAGTAAGTACAGATGTCCAGATTTAAATCTAGTACAGATATGCAAGAAGGGAAGCATGCTTCTATTTTGTCCATAAAAGGCTTGATGACATGGTCAGCTCTTTGGGGATCCAGTGAACATATAACTTTAATAAGGGAGCTACTATGGGGCAATGAATTGCTGCAGTGTTCCAAAGCCCTGCTTTTGGATACATTCAAGATTTACAGAGTAAATTCCCCTATTGATAAGTAACTCACACAGACTCCAGTGGGATTTATCTTCCTAGCAAGTGGGCTAAGGCTTACAGCCTAAATTGGGAGTGGGAGCGCACAACTTATTTTTAAGCCACAATGTGTTATGGCTATTTTTTTCTATCCCCCTATTCTCCCAAAATGATGCTTTTGCTGTAGGAAGATGGCTGTAACTTTATGAGCTTGTTGTTTCAGACCTAACATATCTGGTAGCACTTTCATATCCCCAGTGAAAGTGCTACAGTTCCAGAGATTTCAGAAAATGAGAGAAGTGTTTTAGGACATGCTTAGTGAAAAAATGGCTCAGCAGCCGCATGGAGGAACAGACAAATTCAGTGAATGAACAGGATATCAGGATATCAGAAGTTGCCAAACCATAGGAGTCCATTAGATTACTATATTAAGAAATATTGTGGAACAGGTTGCATGGTATAACAGACAGGGGGCTTTATTTGGACACTGTGAAAGAAGAGATTGGAAGGGACCAACAGTGATACAAACAAAGCCCAGAAAAGCAATTATTAATCATTCTCTCTTATTTACCTTTCATCCAACTCTAAATAGACCCTTTCCCCCTGTACTTGTCTGCACCCACAACAGAGTTCCACATGCTCAAAATAGTTCCTTATTGTCTCCTTCCACTGACTTACTTTGCTGTCTTCTCTGTGCTCCTCTCTGAGCTCTAGAGTTACCCTCTGGGTTAGCTATTTGGTGCTGGTGGTAGTACTAGCTATCAGTGGTGAGTCAATATGGCTAGAAGCTCACTGTATATGATTTATTTTGTATTAGTTGCCAAGAAGCCTTTGTCAGTGGCAGCAGGAATAATGAGCATGGGTGTGTGACAGCATCTCCATAGCTGATAATATTAGCAGTGAACATAGCCTTGGTTCCTTTCCTGGTGGACAGCAGTAAATTCTGGCCATTTTACAATTTCTGTACTACAGGAGATTTCTTTTCAATCACATCCATTACATCTATGTGCCGCCTCTCTGCCAAGGCGGTTTATACTTTTAATACTAAAACAAATAATGTCATAAAATGTAAAGCTGGTCAGGGTGGAAAGGACAGCACAGCTGCAACAGGGCGCTGATGTTGTCTGACAGCCTTCCTTGCTCTCTTTTTTCTTTCTTCCCTTTGGGGCAACTTTGACAATGCCATGTAAATTTTGCCTTATAAACCAGAGCTTCATTTCCAGTAGTAGATTTGGCAGTTGCAGAAACGTACTGGACAACCATCCCACGTTTTCATGGTCAAGCGCTTATTCTGTAAATGAGCTTTTCTTTCTTTTGTCCTTTGAAACTGGCTTTTGGGTATCCTTGCCGAGTATCCTGACTGTTCTAATTTACTTGAGGGAATCCAAGATCCTGCGAACAGATTATTGGATTTGGAATTGTGCCTTCACCTGTGGACTGACCTTCCCAGCCTTTGGTCCTCAGATATTGTTAAGCCTCCACCTCCCACCATCACTCCCATGCAGCATGGTCAGGAGTAATGGGCAAATGGTTGTAGTGGAGGAAAAATGCAGGGGCACACAGTTATGGATTCCCACCCCACCCCCCTCAAAGCAAGAGTTATTGCATCCATCAGTTGGACCATCAGTTGGACTATCTGGCAAGTAAATGAGCTGATAATGAGGCATTCAAGTTTGTTTGTGGCAGGATAGCATGGAAGAAGTCAGAGAATGGAGAAAATAAGCAGAAGCCCCACTCCCATTTTAAATAGGATTGCTACTTCATGCTAGCAGTTTAAATGATAACATTTCCCCCACAGATTGTTTGCATTTCTAATTAAAAACTAAAGGTTGTATTTTAGAAGGCTGAAGAGCACGGCGTGCTGCACGGTGTGCAGTCAGAAGTGAACACCGAGTTAAATGGTGCTTACTCCCAAGAAACTATATAAAGGATTGCAGCCATGCTGATTCTAACAAATTGGGTATTATGTAATGTACTGCTAATATAATGGATCAACACAAACGCCTGCATTTTCGGACTCTCCATGGGGCATGACAATGGGGACTGTAAATATGAGCTCCTGAACTTCAACATTAACCACCACACCGCTGGATGAGATTTGTAGTCTAATAATAATATGGGGATTCATCATGGCTGGGAACGTGAGTAATCATAGTCCAGTTCCATTTTCTCTCAGCTTAATTCTCAGATTTGTAAAATGGGAATAAACTTGTTCTCAATGGGTACTGTGAAGACAAGGTAATTGTTTGTTGCATTTGATATATTGTATATAGTGAGTAACAAAAATTATGATGCATAATGGAAACTTGAAGAAAATAAATACTCTGAAGCCAAATGACCTTTTGACTACTCTCTGTAGCCTATTGGAATGTATATAAATGGCTTAGAACATTTTGTGTGTTGTTTTTTTAATGTTTTGTTTTGGTTGATGTCTTGCAAAATCACTTAAATCAACTCAGTAAGAGAATAGTCGACCATTACTAGACCACACAGTTTCCATAATTGTATCTTTCTAACTCTTAATTACAAAAGATTCCCACCAATTTGCCAAACTGAATGCCAAGAAAGGCAAATGTGTGTTTGTTTGTGCGGGTGTAAATTACAATCCAGTTTTGGTCTTTCTGTGTTGCAAGAAGCATCATCCATACTGATGACTTTGAGTGGGATTTTCCTAAATGTTGTAAAGGTAGGGATGGGGAAAGGGTCTGGGGGGTAGAAATGCAGATCAGAGAAAAGTGCTCTTTGGTGGTGCTGGGTGGAGTGGGGGGATCAGGGAGCCTTCTGAGCCAATGGGGATTGAATTCTGTCATTGGGAGTGACTGCTGTGTGGGAGAGGATAATAGAAAGAGCTGGCATTTGAAATGTGATTAGGATAAACAAACACTGGTTCTTATCCCTTCGTTAGTCACCATCTAATCCAAGCAGCTCAGAGTAAAAGTGCAATTTTGGCCTTAATTGATATTTTACTAATCTCATTGCACAGGCCGTAACAATCACATTTTTGCTTTGACAGCACAAATCCCCTTGTGTAAAATTTCATCTGTACCATTTCAACATAAACATTCCTTTTTGGCCAGCCTACCATAAGCTTAATGTTTGAACATAGGACTGGGTTGCCTTGATGGCCTAAGTGGAGCAGTTTTCCTGGCTTGAAAGCAGAATTGTCAATGCTGGCTCCAGAAAAAATCAATGCATGTTTCTCTTCCACTAACTGGAATTGCTTGTGTTCTTTGAGACCTAATCCTATAGGTCTTTTTTTCTCTTCCCAGCTGGGAATTCCTCTGTATTAAGAGGTGAGTAACATACTCAAAAGAACAGGCAAAGTGGCCTTCAAATCTTTTCAAGGCAGCCGAGTTGATGCCAATACAATTAATGTATTAACTGAGAAGAATTAAAGTCTTTAAACATTGATGAGGGCCAAAACTCATGAGGATTATCTTATGAAATCAATGTCCTCATTGATTTATCTACGTTTTAGAGTGCTCTCATTGTGTCTGCGTATTTGGTCCGTCATTTGAAGTGGCGAGCCAGTTTTTTTCCTTGGATTTCTGAATATGTTTATTTGGAAGTGGTCCCAGCTTCCCCACATATTACCAGAAAGGTATTACTGCTGGTCGATTGGTGGACCGGGGTAGTTGTAGCGATTGGGGAGCAGGCCGATAAGTATGTTCACCCCCCCCTTACCCACACCCACCCACCCACCTGAGCTCAGGCGTTCACCTAAACTTGTGGTAGGGCCGACTTGGGTGTAACTTCTGTTATAGATGTCAGGAAAGTTTGCTGCCTGGAATAGAGCTTTGAGTGTTTGTTAATGTTTGCCCCAAAGGGGGAGGGGGGATTTTTACAGCTACTGAGAATATTTTTGCCTCAAGGATCCCCTGCAGGGGATGGGTTTTTGTCTCCAATTCTAGTTTCCCAGGGGCAGCCTGTCAAAACAGCCACGATTTGCGAAGTAAATATGATAACAGTGGTGCAGTTTGGTAATTTTAGACTCTGGATTTAATAGATTTACTGGGGAGGCCCTTTTAAGATAGCAATATTATTGACACATTTTGGAATAATTGAAAGAATACAGGCCTTTCTGCTCATTCTCCTCAGTGAGACCCTGGATCTCTGCCCAAAAGTCCAGCCCTGATTGCACCATTGTATGAAAAGAATAGTAAATGTTGCTGTCTGTGCATTCAGGCACACATTCTTCTCTTAACATTTTGGCAACCATATTGTATCATTATAGAGGCTTCCAAGAAAATATCTGCCTGGTAGTTTGAATCAGTGTGTGAAATCTCGTCCATCTCCCTCCTTGTCTTCCTCCTCCACTCGCTGCCCCCAAAATATGCATATAGCTGCCTAGCTAGAGGATAAGTAGATTGTGGGCAGGGCCTCCTTTATCATTTTTGTACTGAACTTAGATGTAGGTACTCCATAAATAATAAATACTAGCATTTTCCTCTGGCAGCTTTGTATGGGTAATTCTCTCAACCTCATAGCTGGGAGGTCCTTGCTAAAGGCTAGACACCACTATGGCTATAGATGTGGTGGCATATGACCACAGTGGGTACATTTGAGAATGTGACTGTGGCACATTCACTTTTGTCATAATCTTTTCTGCAACCATAAGAGAAAAAACTGTTATTTTAAATGTAGACTTGCCACTTTCAAAAGTGCTCTGGACCTGAGAAAAGCATCTTTGTGGGGCAGATGTTTTGGCTAAAAGGAAACATTCTGTATTGAGGTTGGTCTGTTTTAAGTTACAAAAGCCACAAGCCTTTCTTGTGTAGCAAGGGTTAGTAAGGGCTGCTGCTACTCCTGCTATACCGCTGTCCAATTTATAGCCATTGTGTTAGCTTACCTGTATAGGCAGGTGGAAAACTGGGCACCTTTGGAGGGCCGCATGCCAGTGATGGGCAAGGCCAGAGGTAAAAGTGGATGGAGGGATGAATGTAAATGTCCTCATTGTAGAATAGTCTAGCCTCTGCACACATTCAAACGTCCTCCTCTGTCCTCCATCCAACAAGAAAGAGCTTGGCCCACGACACACTCTAGCCAGACACTTGGGGGCAAAGCAGGGCCTATGAAGGGTGTGGCCTGAGGAGAATTCCAAGGGCCTAGAGAGGCCTAGAGAGGCCTAGAGGGATGCAGCTGCTCCTTGGGCCTGAGCTTCCCCACCCTATTTGTATGACATGGTTAAGAGCATAATCCAGAGGTGCTTGGTTTAAACCTGAGCTCTCTGGGCAGCCTTAGGCAAGCTCCCCTCTCCATAGGAGCCAACTCCTAGGGGCCAAGGTTCCTTGCCTCCCAATAATATATCTGAGGGGGCCAGGTCCCCCCAAAGTTGATTGGCATTCCCATTAAAATAGTGTGTGTGTGTGCCATGTCATGCGATCGACTATGTGGGGTGGGACTTACCAGCCCCCCCCCATATTTTTTTCAAGTTAGTACCCCTGCCCGCTCTCAGCTCTTAGACCTTTCATTCATAAAATGTGGTTATACATATAATACTGACCTACCTAACAGAGGTTCAGTAAAGATCCTTGAGCTAGACAATTACCGTATTTTTTGCTCTATAAGACTCACTTTCTCTCTCTCAAAAAGTAAGGGGAAATGTGTGTGCGTCTTATGGAGCGAATGCAGGCTGCGCAGCTATCCCAGAAGCCAGAACAGCAAGAGGGATTGCTGCTTTCACTGAGCAGCGATCCCTCTTGCTGTTCTGGCTCCTGAGATTCAGAATATTTTTTTTCTTGTTTTCCTCCTCCAAAAACTAGGTGCGTCTTGTGGTCTGGTGCGTCTTATAGAGCGAAAAATACGGTAAATGCTCCAAGCACTTATGCGAAATGTACCATATACATTATCACTACAATCTTGGTGTTTTTGCTTTAAAAGTTATTCAGTGCGTGGTTCAACCTTAAGAATGGATCATGTTTTAAGAGAAGAAGATCTTAATGCAGCAAATTCAGAATTAAGGAAGTCAGAAAGGCTATGAACACGCCTGCAGGCTGCCACAAAGCCCTTCCTTGTGGGCAGAGCTTTGAGAAAGGAGCTGTAGCTCAGTGGAAGAGCTGTGGATTTTTAAAAAAATGTTCAAGGTTCCCCCTCTGGTAGGACAGGGAAAGTTTCCTATCTGAAACTGTGAAAAGCTGATGCCATTCTGTGTAGACAAGACTGAGTTAGATGGACCAATAGTCTGACTAAATGGCAATGATAATGTTTAAAAGCTCCTTGCTGCATGCACCACCCCATCACGGCAGCAACTGTATGCCAGAGATTGCCAGGGATGTGCAGCAGTGGTGTGCAGGTGCTGAATGCGGTTGGGAGAGGTACAGCGTTATCTCGAGTTACAAACGCCTCAGGTTACAAACTCTGCTAACCTAGAAGAGTTACCTTGAGTTGAGAACTTTGCCCCAGGATGATTACGGAAATCGTGTGCCGGCGGCGCAGTGGCAGTAAGAGGCCCCATTAGCGAAAGCACGCCTCTAGTTAAGAACAGTTTCAGGTTAAGAACGGACCTCCGGAACGAATTAAGTTCATAACTGTATGTGAGTGAGAGGTTTTAAACATTTCATTGGTTGCATGTGCCACTCTCATGAGGAAGGGCTTTGGGAGAACTGAAATGCTGATAAGTCAATCAGATGTTCAGCCATTCTGTCTGAGTGCTTTGCTGCCAGACCATTTGCACATGAGGTTAGAAGTTCATGTTCAAGATAAGAATACATTTGGTCCTTAGTGCAATTTAACTGTGGTTTTGTAGTCACAGTCAGGGTGGTTAAAGGGTGAATGCTCCCACTTTTATATGCATGCTTAGTTGCTGGGGATGGAATCTCAACAAGGTGCTAGAGTTAATGCTTTGCATGCAGAAGATCCTAGGTTCTGTACCCGGCAACTCTAGTTAAAAATGTAAGAGGTGTTAGGAAAGACCTGTCTACCTGACAAGTTGCCACTCAGAGTAGACATTACTGTGCTTAGAATCATGGACAAATGGCCTGATCTAGTAGACAGTAGCTCTGGAATAGTGAATTCTTATCTGTGATGGTGTTTTGAGCATAAAACTGGGTTGAGATAGTCATTCCAGAACAAAAGACTATGCTTATGTGGTTCTGCCATATGATGGATTCTTTCACAGGAATCTTTGTGAAGCAGGATTGCTGAGTATATGTTGAATTATTGGGTGGAAGTGATGGTCAGATTTGGAGAGGAGTTTTAATTCCCATTTTTGTGGTGTTCACAATGGTGTTACTTGACAATGTGTTTCTGTTTGGTCAATATGTATATATACTGCACATAGCCTATGCAGCACTGTCTAGTTGCTTTTATTTCCTTTTGTTGTTTATAGTACATTTCCTTCTTCTCTACCCCCGATCCTATTTTCTTGATTTCCACAAGGAGGAAATCTCTTTCTCTCTGCTTTATACCTGCCACATCCCAAATAAAAGAATCTGTATTTTTGGATGACAGCTCATACTGCAAAAGCACCAAAGTGAGATGCTATGCAGGAAAAAATTATCTCTGTTCTGTCTTTAAGTGTTATGTGATATGATCTGTTGCAAGGGAAAAAATGGTCTTCGGTTATCAGGCCTGTCATCGGAGTGCTGTCTTTTACCGGCAGATTTCCCACCCCGCCCCCTACTTTTTTGTATTACAATTGCCAGAGAATTTTCCATTGACCACAACCACACAATAGCCTTATCATAATTACAATAGCACTACAATTAATCATTAATAGGCTTGAAGGAATGTGTTTTTCTGCCAGGGGCCTTCCATCCAGGGAGCACAGTCTACCTTGCAATATTTCAGTGCTTCCTTTGGGAAGGAACAAAGCATGATCTAAAAAATATGGGAAGAGCTGTGAGTGTGTGAAATCAAAGTTGTCTACATGTTTGGGCCCCGGGCAGTGTTTTTCACTTCCATTACTGACTCTTATAGGCAAATCCATTTCTTATATGTCATTCTGAGTTCAATAGAGCTTGTTGTCATGGATGTATAAGATGGTGGCAGTACAATCCTAGGGATAATTACTCAGAAGCAAGACCCCACTGGCCTCTGTGGGACTTATTCCCTGATAAGTGTGTATAGCATCTCTCATTTTGAGGGGAAAGTTGAACCAATTCAACAATCCAATTCAAACGTTGACCTCTAGTGTATCTACCTTCTAGTGAAATAAAATTATACAAATAAGCATTGTCACCTTTTCTCAAGGCACAGAAAAAGGCTATATCAGGGGATGGAATTGGCAACCTTACCGAGGAGCTCAGCCAACTCATGTCACTACAATAAAAAAGAAAAGAGCAAAAAGACAACACAATGGCGTGCTTCAGTGGAGGCTGGTTGTTTAGGGTAAATGGAGTAGTGCCCCTCCAACCTCTACCCTCAGGCAGTGGGCACCCGGTGGAGTTGGAGGCAGCAGCTGACAAGTGCAGGAGGCAATGAGTGGCATGCTTTTCAGAGGCTGGATCTGCTCCCCTCCCAGCTGCCTGGAGCCTGCTGCCCTGCAGCCACTGCCTTACCTTGCCTCATAGGTGGACCGGCCCTGCATAGATTGTGGTCTCATTGCAGTTGTATCCTAGATGTTGCACTTAGTTTCCCTCCATAAGACTAAACTGTAGCCACTCCCTTTATGAGAGAAAGGATTTTCATATACAGTGGTACCTCGGGTTGCATACGCTTCAGGTTACAGACTCTGCTAACCCAGAAATATTACCTCGGATTAAGAGCTTTGCTTCAGGATGAGAACAGAAATTGTGCTCTGGTGGCGCGGCGGCAGCAGGAGGCCCCATTAGCTAAAGTGGTGCTTCAGGTTAAGAACAGTTTCAGGTTAAGTATGGACCTCCAGAACGAATTAAGTACTTAACCTGAGGTACCACTGTAGATTCCAAGGATTTACTTCTTTCTCCTAGTGCCTATATGTTTTGGAGAGTTTAGGGCAACCTTTCTCAACCCTGGGTCCCATCATTCCTAGCCAGCTTGGCCAGTGGTCAGGGGTGTTGGGAGTTTTAGTTCAAAAACAGCTGAGGATCCAAGGCTGAGAAAGGCTGGTTTACGGTTTCCCACCCCTGCTGGAATCAAGCCAATTGCACTGCATTTACTTTGCCCCTGAAACTGAATGGGAAACCACTCCTCCCAACATAAAGTCATCTTGCGCTCTCTTTTTTTATTGTGCTCTGGTATAAAAAATAATGATACGTGATAAATCAGAGTGCTCTTTTTTTAAAAAAAAAACCTTAAATATGCTTGAGAGGACTGAGACAAATGTTCATCAATGAACAGTTCCAGCTAAAAAGGATTAGATTTTTAGGGATGAAAGAATTCACAGAGAGTTAATTCTTTATCACAGGAAAAGGCAGTGACAGTATTCTTCCCACTGCTGCCAGACAGTTTCCTCTCCACTGTCCTTTTGAATCAGAGTGAGGACAAAAAACATTGACCTACATTCTGAATTGGCTTTGTGATGTTGTCATGTAGGCATATTTGACAGATGATGCAATGGGGCTACACCGCTTACGTCAAAAAGTGAATTATAAATATATTTTTAAATTCTACTTGGTGAGAACTAGAAGAGTTGAGATATTTTAAGCTGCATTGCTTTTGCACCAGGAAGTAACCCTGTTGTACCAATACAGCTGTAGCCCTATAGGGGCAAATCAGTCCATATGTTCAGTAGAGGGAAACCAATTCCATTAAACTTTTGAACATGTACCATTCTTGTAAATTAGTGTGAAATTAAATAAGTAAAATATTTTCACTGTGTATGTGTGGAATAGTAGCAGAATCGAGTTACACTAAATAATATTTTTGTCTTTTGCTAACACTTTGTGGATTAAAAGTCTTTGCAAGCACAAGTTCATATGGTTGAGGTGTCCTGTATCATATTTGTGTGATATCCTGGGGACGCATCCTGGGAAAGTTTGCCAGATAAAGTTTGTGCCTTGTCTGCCTGTAGTGAATTTTCCATCCTTTCCTTTCCTTGTGGAGAAATACTCCTAGATGAGGAGGTACCTTGGTTTATAAGTGAAGGAAGAATGTCTTGGATGCAGAGCTGTGGAATGAAACTTATCCATGTGGCACTGCATTCTTCATTTCATTGAAGTAACCCCCTTACACTCAGTAGGGCTTGTTTCTAAATAAGGTGCTTCTTGCTCCCTACACTTTGCAGTTAGATAGAAGTTTACCATTGATTTCATGTGTCTTTCCCATTTCCCATAATGATAAATGTACCTGTGTATTGACAAAAGGGCAATAGGATTCAGAATGCAGCTAACACATAAACAGAGTAAAGGCTAAATATTTTATTAAACAGCCCAAAGAAAGCTACAAAGCACTGTCATTATCTTACTCCCCTGCAGTGATAACCTCTGGTGGATGGAGCTGTGGCTGGCGTGCAGCTCTTTCCATGGTGCAGCCTACACAAAGGTTCTCACTAACAGATGTGTTCTTGGGGCTCATATACGCTTGGGATCCATTCCCAACAAAGAGAGCGCTGGGGTTGCATAAGCCACAGCTGTTGAAGATTGTCCCCTAGCAAATGTCTTTACAAGTGAAGTCCTAAACATGTCTTCTCTGAGCTCAAGGAGGCTTGCTTCCAAGTAGGTTGGCATAATATTTCAGCTTTAACCAAGAACAAGGGTAAGCCAGCATGGTGCCTTCTTGATGTTTCTGGACTCAACTCTGATCAGCCCCAGCCAGTTTGGCCAGTGGTGAGAATGATGGAAGGTAGATGCAGAATTAGATAAACTAACAGGAAAGATTCGAAACCGGAGAGACCAGAAATTCACGGAAGACTGGAGTAAATTAACGGACTATTTGAAAAGTAATTGTGAAGAACAGATGACGTTTGTAGGGTTGCAAGAAGTTTTGTGAGGAGTATTATTAGAAGTATTGTAAAAATGGATAAGGGGGAGGATGATTGGTTAAGAGATGTAAAGGCAATATAAAGTTAAGAAATGCATAAGAAGTGGTTAAAACGGTGGATCATCAGAGGTGCTGATGGAAGTCCAAAAAGATTGTATAAGTGATAAGCTTTGTAATACATTTTTTAATTTATATGTCAAAATTAATAAAAAATATTATATAAAAGAGAGAATGATGGAAGGTACAGCAACATCTGTCTGGAGGGCATCACAATGGCTACTCCAAGCTAGAACATATCTATGGAAACATAGTTCAACCATGCATTTGAGTTTTATCAAATGTGACAGATGGTACGCTAGGCCTGGCATTTATTCTTTCATGTAGTATTGAAAAGTTTCCATTAGCAAGGAAAATTTGATATTAACTGTAACTTTCTTCTGTATGCTTCTCACTCCTCTCCCCATCCCAAACCCCTTTTGAGCCAAATCCCTGATCTACAAGGCAAAGAGCTATTAGTATCAACATTTAGACTCCTGGAGCACTTGTACAAATACAGGAGAGTTGCTGTCAGATCTTATGTTATCTTCGCCCCGCAGCACATGGCAGGCTTACCGGTTATCACTTGCTTGAGTTATCTGCAGCTGTTTACTCTGCAGGCTCTGTTTTGTGCCACAGCTGGTCTTTGCCTTGTAAAACACTTTGATTTGGAATGAGTAGGCTGGGTGATCTTGAGCTAGCTAGCTCATTCTTGGCAGCAACAGCGTGGAGGAGACAACTTTTGGTCTCCCAAAACTGCTTTCAAGGGTATGAAATAAATTTCAAACATGATTGGCAGAAACCAGCAAGCTGCTAAAAGTTGATCAGAAGACATTGTGCCTTAACAAAGATCATCTGGCAAATGTGTAGCTGTCTCAGAACATTGTGAACGTACATCTCAGAATCTGTTTGCCCAGAACAAATGTTATAATAACAACTTGGTGTGCTGTTTGAACAAGAAATAAGCCCCTTTAATTTGTATAATCAGAGATTAGATGGGGCTGAATGAGTGGCATTGTGCTAGTAGATGCAAGTGCTTAAAATGACGTCAAGGTGTATCTAAAGACTGCATGTCTACAAGCTATCGATTAAAATGCATTTGAGTGTCTCTCAAACGATAACAGGAGTAAGAAAGACACAGCCATTTGGCTTGGACATGGTACAAGGATTTGCTTCCACCAGTGCTAAAGGATGTCCAACCCTTGATAAGCACTTATGCCTACTTGTCTACTTTAATTTATTGGAATACTTTAAATCTCCTCAGTTATCCTTAGGCTGTCCTGGAAAGGAGGGAAGACGTGAGAATGATAACAAGCTGATATAGCTGTCTCTCCTGCCAGCAAACCCAAGTTTCTTGGCTGGAGACGGGAAGAGAAATGTGCAATGTCAGTGGCAGAAGGGGCTAGAGATAACCATTGGTGGTCCTGCATGGCAATTAGCCAGAGAGTTATCAGCAAGCTCAGCATAAATCCTTGGGGCCTTTGTTTACACTTGGGCCTGTCGAGAACTTGACTGCACTAACTTTTTGGCATCCAAGGTTTTTTTTAAAAAATAAAATAAAAATATATAGCTGTACCTATTGCAGGGTTAACTGGTGCTAGGAGCATTTAGATGACTGGTGTGGGTTGGGCCTGATGGGAACTGTAGTTCAAAACATTTGAAGGGCACTGGATTGGTGAAGGCTGACCTAGAGAATGCCAAGCACCCTGAAGTCTCATGGATGTGCAAGCTCCATTGATTGAATGCTTCGCTCCTCCTGAATTGTATCCATACTCTCCCAACCTTCATCTTAAGGACAGAGACAGCTTTTTGTAACAAGGAAGAGAGCAAGCAGCATAAGCAGAGTTGTCCATGTAGACTGTTATGAAGAAGGTTGGGGTTAGCACTTAACATGGTATGTCACATTTTGTTTTAGTATCGGGAGATTTGGGGGCGAGGTAAAGAAAGTGTAAAAACTTTTGATCCTCCCCCCACTCTTGTTGTATGAATTGGTTTAGTTCAGCAGTAAATGGATCACAGGGGATTCTGCTTGCCTATTTTAGCTCTTATTTGCTATAAGCAGCAGGGGAATGGGGTAATTCATTCCTGGAATCTCATATTTTCTCTTGCAAGGGCAAAGTTGGAAGATGCTTTTTCTTCCCTTACTGTAATCCAGCCATTTGATTAACCTCTAAAGTTCCAGTCAATGCGGGCCTATCAAAAGGAGGTATAATCCTCACTGCCAGCATAATTCCAATCAGATTCATATTTCAGTTTATCAGAAATTACCATGATGATATAGCACACAAAGCCTTTATTAGCAGGGTAAGCCTTTGTAATTAATTTTCTGCCTTCTACTTAGCAAGCCGTTTGCCAGTACCATTTGCATTTTCCCCCCAAAAAACCCCTCTTCCTACAATACCATGGATTTAAATATTTAAATCTGAATTAAATTAAAGTATAAATAAATCCTTTTACATCATAAAACATCTTTGGAGACCTCTGACTGAATATCCAAGAAGGTCATTAAATCCTTGTGTTGTTCTTAGATTATGAACCACGGCTGTCAGAAATGTTAATACTGTTCTTTTGGAGTGATGAGTGAAATATAAAAAAGCAAGATAGGCAGGGTCTAGGAACAAAATGCTGATTCTGGTACAATTGGTGCCAAAATTCCCATTTACATTAATGGATCCAGTCTTGATGCCTCTGTCTTTTAAATACATTTCTTGCTATATGGAAACCTGAAATAACTCATTCAGACTGCTGTCTCGGCTTGTCAGATTTGATCTCTCTGCTATGGTTTGTTTCAGTGGGAGATTAATAATGTCATGACATACATACATACACATGCTTCCTCCCCAGGGATTCTAGAAGTTAAAAGCAGAATCCCATGCCAGTTTTCTCAGAAGTCCGACTACACTCAGTGAGACTTATTTCCTAGTAAATGTGTTTTAGGATTGCAGATTATGTGGGGAATGAATACTAAAACTGCTTGGATTAACACATAAATTAGTTGGAGAAGAATTTGGATGCTTTCATCATCATTTATTTGCATGCCATAGTTAGACCATGCTCAAGGTGGTTTGCAACATCAAAAGTTTTATATAATTAGAAAACTGTAACAAAATTTAAGTGGTCATGAACAATGAATGAAAACATTTTAGTTAGTTATACAGTAGAATTAAACAATCCCCAACGAAGTCTGAACAATAAAGAATGCACAATTCCGAGAACAGCAAAAATTAAGCATATTCAGAATTCAATCCTGACCCAAACAAAAACTCCTAAACAATACAGCATCCCTGTAGCCTCTAGGCACCTTGAGCAGCAGGTCTTAAAGGACTCACAGATAATATGGTCTCTCTGGCCCCTTAAGCAGTAGAAGCAGTTTTTGTAGCTGGAGTCAGCCAGGACCCAACCTTCCCAGGCCAGATGGAAATTGGCCAGCAAAGCAAGGAGTAGGCCTTGAAGGACCCACATAGGCTTTATATAGCTCAACTGGTAGACTACAAGCCTCTTAATCTCAGAGTCTTGGGTTTGAGCCCCACATTGGGCAAAAAGATTCCTGCCTTACAGGTGGTTGGACTAGGACTAGGTGATCCCTTTGGTCCTCTCCAACTCTACGATTATATGAAAAGCTTGCATGTCATTAGAGGTGGGATTTTAAAGCCCCTCCTGGTTTATATCCGGGCCTAGCTTAGGGGAATTTTGCCAGTATCTCTAACAATGAAGTGATTCATATGAATAAATTGATGTGTGTACCCTACAATATGTCCAATAAATTGGAATGCATCAGAGAGTGAATTAGGGTGGGTATAAAGGAAAATTGAAGACAGGAGTGCCTGGTGTGCTCTGGTCCATGGGGTCACGAAGAGTCGGACACGACTAAACATCAACAACAAAGTAAAATTAAAACATTGAGTTTGGACTATTTGATATTAAAAGATAAAATGAAAAAACTCTTAACAAACAGATACTGTGCGCACACATGCGCGTGCACACACACTTAGTTCCTATGCTACTCAGTTGCTTTCTCTACTGCTTAGAAGTCAGAGGTTGTGCAGGAGGAGCTCATACTGTGGACCACAGATCATTTCTGGCAGAGGAGTTTCTTGTGTGGGAAAGTGCTAAATACAGAAGTGAGTTAAATATCTTACAGTGTGGAAGCAGGGGCACCCTCTTCCCAATATGACTGAGGGGGTTCAATGTGACATCCTGATGTCATGTGTGTGATGTTGCATGCTCAATGTCTCGAGGAGCCAGGGGGCGGAGCTGAACGCCCTCTGAACATTGAGGGGGCTCAGTCCCAGCCCCCTAAAAAAAACCATGGGATTGAAAGTTCCTCAGCCCCTAGGAGCTGTTAGCCTATGTGCGGAAGCATTTGGTGTGTTTTTTGCTTTGTCACAAAAACATGTATTGTGGTCTTAAACCATCTCTGAAAGAAACTAATCCAGAAACTTATTCCTGAGGCGTAATTTCCCTAGGTAAATTGGATTAATCTGTTTTTGGATTTAAGGGTCCCGATAATTCATTCAAAAAGTATATATTTACTCTTCTACCAATGAACATTCATCTACAGAGATTGCTTAAAACTTTATGAGATATTTCCTCTAACTTCCACTCTGGCAAACTTTAACTATTGATGTTACTGTATTTCAAAAATTTAAGAAGAACATCAAAAATTCTTGATACACATTTTCCCCCTGGCTTTGCTCATGGGCAACACTTGTCAAAATTTCTCTTCCTCTGAAGACTCTGGCTCTTTGATGCTGGCAAGAAACATATATGCATCTGTTCAGATAGTATGGTAGGCTGTCATATTTGTGGTATACTAATAAAATGAGCAATCATACAGAGCAATCACTACTCGCAGTGATTGAGTAGTGTAATTTTTAACAGAAACAAGTATTAAAATACACATTTAGTTAATTCAATTGTGGTGTGAATCCCGAAGTTAAACATAAATGTTATGAATAATTGGTTCTTCTTCAAATTCAATGCAAACAGACTACTTAAAAGAGAAAATGAAGTATAATAATTTTGTTTGTTTTTGTAAGTCTACAGAATGACTTCAAAGGTATTACAGATCGAGCATTCGATTTAAAACTGCTTCCCTGATCAAGCAAGGGGCAGCCAATCTTCTTTGTGCATATTGCTTTTCTGGACTAGGCTCCCCAATGCATAAATGTGAACAGTGTTTTGACTGCTTGAACAGAACGCTGTGAGATGGTTTGAAACTTGCTGACTGAAGCAAAAAATTCTGGTTTCCAGCAAAGCGATCACCCTCCAGATCTAAAAGCATTGGATTGTTAAAAACACCTGGGAATTGCTAAAATAGCTATGTTGGATTCTTCATGGAATGTTGTCCAATCATAAAAATAATAGCAGATTTGAATTCCTCATACCCAAAACCATTTTTTAAGATCCCTCCCTGAAGAAATTTGCAAAAAATAAGTTTCACTCCCTAAAACTGCATGCCCTACTAGTGGGGCAGGTGAGAGTTGGAGATCAGCAGCAACATCTGTGGAGCCAAAGGTTTGCCACACCTATCTTTACTTGTCAGATTTCAAACCTGCCCAGATCTTGGCCCCTCCAGCAGATCTCCACACTACCAGGGATCTTGAGGAGCCTTTGGATATGGACATCCTTGCCCCAGGACAAGAGGTTCCCATACCAGCTGTCTAGGTTCTTTATTCTCTCTCTCTCTCTCTCTCTCTCTCACTCTCACACACACACATCCTGCACACACATCTCCCTCTGAGCCTCAGAAATAGAAGGACAGCAAGCAAGGCAGGAATGTAAGAGTCTAGTTAGTTGCCCTTGAGGGGCAAGCACATGAAAACATCTGCATGGATGAGCACCTGGCTAACAGCCAGGAAGGGATGGAACCTCCACCTTCTATGTAAGTTCCCAGTCTGAGCTGTTCTGTTGCTGAAGCTCCAGCGTCCCTGATACGGGGAATGCTGAATGGCTTCTGACTCCCCATTGCACCACTTTGTATTGGTCCTACTGTCCACACCAATGAATGTGTGCTCATGTGGGCTTCTCTTTAATTTCTTCAGCATTGACTTATGGAAAGGTATAATGCCATCAGGAATCATATGCATGTTTCATGTAGAACATGTTATAGCAGAATGCTATCTCCATGTAGATGTCTTTTAGACGTGTTGTTGTAATAAGGAAGCAGCACCAATTAGTACAGAGTTTGCTATCCAAGGTCCTGGTTGCTTCAGCTCACTGTGTGACTTGTAGCTTTCTATGCTGTCAAAACATGTTACACCAGTGCAAGGAGGCTGGATAGGCATCTTACCTCACCAAACTGAGATAACTGGAAGAGTGGAACTGGAAGAAGCCAAAGCTTCTTCACTGGTGACTTTAACCTCTTCTGCCCCTTTCTTTTCCTTTTTCCTCATGAAAAGTTGATATCTTTCTGTATATTTGTCACCTGAAGGCTTACTCTTACCTCCAGGCATTTTGAATGTAGAGCCATGTGCTGGTTGTGCAGGAAGGCTCAGTAAAACATACATCATACCATCAATTAGGTGCATATTACTGGGCTGAAA